GCCCGGCGCCCCGGGCCCGCCCGCTCCGCTCGCTCCAGCGCCAGGCGGGGCCGGGGCTGCACCCGACAGACCGCCCCGCGGACAGACGGACAGACGGACAGACGCCCCGGACAGGAGCCGCCGCCGCCGCCGCCTGTAGCCCGTCACCATGGTAACGCCTGCCCAGGCCTGGACCACCTCGCTCGGTCCCCTTTCGGCGGGGCACAGCCCTCGAGGGGGTGTCCAGGGCAGACCCCTACCCGTCGCGCTGCGTCAACCTCGGTCCCTCGCCGGGGGTCTGCGCTCAACCGCCCCCACCAGCGGGGGCGGGGCGGGGGTGCAGGAGCCCGTCCCCGGCCGTGTCCCCGCTCCCCTCGGGGCCCGTCTGCCGTGTGTGAAGAGGATGGAGCGGGATGAGAGGACCTGTAAACCGGGATATTGCCCCGTCCGGTAGCGGAGATCAGAGCTGGAATCCCAGCTCTCGGGCCGGGGACAAAACTTGGTGTTACATGTTAGACTTGGGGCTGAGGGTCACACATGCCCACTGTCCCCACAGGGCTTTGGATGGGGATGGGGATTCAAGTTTCCTGCCAGCAGGGGCGGGCAGGGCAGGGCGAGGAGGCTTAAGGGTGCCAGTGGAGAGGATGGAGTCACACCAAACCTTGGGGCGGGTTTCCTACTTGAGCCTCAGAGCAGGAAAGTCAGGTGTGCGCACAGTGCTGCTGAGAGGCCTCCCGTGGAAACCGGGTGAGAGGTGGGCCTGGGGAGGGGCAGAGGGAGGGCAGCTCTCTCATATCGTGGCGTTCTGGGCTGGCGCCTGGGGGAGGTTGAGGTGCTCTGGGAGAAGTGTGCGTGTGTGCGTGTGTGTGTGTGTTTGCACCAGTATCTGGGAACAGAGAATGAATGAAAAGTCTGTTTTCAGAGAATCCCAGCCCAGCTCCAGACAGGCCCAGGAGCCCGGGGCGGATTCACAGGAGTGGGGGGGTGGTCGCGGGGTGGGGGGGGGCGGGGGGGTGCGGTTTGGAGAAGAGCAGGGAAGACAGGCCACGGCTGTAACCCCTTGACTGTGACCGACCGTGTTGGATTTGTGTGGGTTTTCACTATGCGCACGTTTATACGCAGAGTTCTATATAGAGACGTGTTCATACAAACACATGCACAGAGCACGCCAGAGCATGCTCCCCCTGACTCACACAGCTGAACACACGTGCCCTCTCACACACACAAGCGTTGTCCGCCTGCCCTCCCATACTGCAAACTGTGGGCGTACACCTGCGTACACACCACACACGTGTCGCAAAGCCAGGCTCCTAGAGCCGTTCTCCAGCAGGGCAGGCATACACACACGTGCTCTTGGAGCCGTTTCACAGTAACCATCGTAAGCTAACAGTTATTCACTTCTCACGCCAGGCAGGCTCTGTGCTAGGTGATTGACGTGCGGGAGCTCGTGTGACTCACACCAGCTCTGAGAGTAGACCTGCTGGTGTCTCCACCCCACAGATGGAGACATGGGGCTCTGGGAGCTTAAGTAGCTGCCCAAGGTCACCCTACCGGGAAGTAAGAGTTAGGACAGCCTGAGTTCTGAACCTACACTCAGCTGTCATGCACACCCCAGAGCCACAACCTGCACCAAGTGGTGTTTGCCAAATTTTGCCTGGTTTTGGACCTAACCCAGTTATTAGTTTTAGAATCCAGAAACTCCTTGCTGAACCCCAGACTCTCACATCAAGGGTCAGGCATTGGGCACCTCCTCTCAGAGGATAAGCAAGTCTCTTCTGAATAGCAATGATGGGTGGATTTTCCTCCCACCTCTGTCTTTAAATAGTAAAGGTTGTCACCTGCCCATCTCTCTGGCCTCACCTCTGTACTCCAGCTACTCTAACCTGGGTTCAGAGCCTCTTATGTTTCGTGGTCCCTCCTGCCACAGGGCCTTTGCATATGCTGTTCCTGTTGGATGGAACACCTTCCCCTAAGGAATTCCTATTCATCCTGTAAATCTCCACCCAAACGTCACCTCCTCAGGAAAGCTTTTCGTGATTTCCCCAACTCTCACTCTAGCATGCCATATATCACTCCTTCATGGCACCCATCACAATTGTATTTTTCATGGGGTGATTTGATTAATGGCTATCTAGTGTTCTGGGGCAGCCCAGTGTCAGAGCACTTATGACAAAGGGGATTAGGGTTTATCCAGTCCCACATTCCCCAAATTTTAGTATCATCAAAACAATGTTTGCATATCATGGGTAAGTTATTTTAAGGAAATAAGAAAATCTACTACTTATTATTTGCTTAGTATTTTTCTTTAAATCAACTTTCATTTTTTTGTGTGTGGGGAAGATCAGCCCTGTGCTAACATCTGCCAATCCTCCTCTTTTTTTGCTGAGGAAGACTGGTCCTGGGCTAACATCGGTGCCCATCTTCCTCTACTTTATATGGGACGACGCCACAGCATGGCTTGACAAGCGGTGTGTCGATGCGTGCCCGGGATCCGAACCGGCGAACCCCAGGCCGGACGCAGTGGAGCGTGCGCACCTAACCACTTGTGCCACCGGACCGGCCCCTAAGTCAACTTTCTTTATAAACTTAAGAATTTATTTAAATAGGAAATTTCATATCATGACCATGAAGAATCAGTGTCCCTTGTCATAAACAGAAAGTAACTGTGAAAATATATACAACAAAGGCAAATTCGTGTTAGTAAATTCTGGCTGGATGAGATTAGCTGTGGACGATTCCAAACCCTAGAACTGCTTTCTTTTTGTTAAAAGGAGTAGTGACGAGGTGTCGGAGAGGTGTTTAAGATCCACGGGCACTGAACTGAGACTTTCTCTTTGGTGTCATCAGAAGGACTGGAAGAGAGTTGGAGTAACTTCCTTACTGTGGTTTCACGTCGGGCTCATGTCTCCGCAAGTCGTCTTGCGGGTCCCCTGTCATCCCATCCCAGGCTTTGAGAAAAGCTGGTTGTGTCCAGTTCAGTTCATTCAACATCTCCAAAGTACCTACTTCCTGGCGGTCCCCCAAAGCACCTACTGCGTGCCAGGCCCTGTGTAGGGACCTGAGGTAGGGGTGAGTCAGCCCTGGTTCCTGCCTTGGGGGCCTGCAGTGCGTGGGGAAGGCCGTTGCAGTGGGCAGAGGGGAGCCTGGTCTGGTGGTAGGGAGCCCCGGGAAGGGGCTGGTAGTTATGTGTGCGGTTCATATCCCAGCTCTACCATTTACTGGTGGCAGAGCCTTGGGCTCAGTTTTTTAATCTGTAAAATGGGAATAAAAATACCCATCCCATAGAATTGTTGGGAAGATGAAATAAAATAGTGTATGGAAAGTGCTTAGGATAAGGCCTGATACAGAGGGCTTGCTTAGTAAGAAGCAGCTCTGGTTATAATTATCATCATTATGTGGTTTGGGTGGGAGATGGTGAACCCCAAGGCAGAGGCAAAGGGGACAGGGAGAGAAAAGGACAAACACAAATCTAAGGCCCAGAGAGGTGAAGTCACTTGCTCAGGGTCACACAGATGATACATGACAGAGCTGGACTTGAACGTGGGTCTTCTAACACCCACTTGCTTCGCAGTTCACTGCCTCTAAGCTGTTTTTCCCGTTTCTGAAAGGTTTTTTTTATAAGGAGCCAATTCTCACTCATACCTCCACCCACACAAGAATCAAAAGGATTTAAAGCAAAAGAAGTTTTGGTTGGATGTGAGCAACAACTTCTTGGCAGCCAGAGCAACAAAATGCTGCTTTTAGAATCTTCAGCCTGGAGGAGTTCAAGAGGAGTGACCCAGGCAGTTGAGCCTGAGGATCACGACCTGACAGCCACAGGGCTGTGTCTGGCTCACAGAGGTGTTTGGTTTGGCCAGCCTTTAAAAGATTGGGAGGTTCTACTAAAATATCAGTAGATCAGGCAGCGCTGGGCGAAGGCAGCACTCGGCTGGAGCTGATGAGATGGGGCGTGTGCCTCAGGCCCCACTACTCCCTATCGCTTCCCTGACACTGAGGCTGACTGTCGGGGGCCACTCACCAAGGGGCTGGAGGGGTTATTTTCTCACACTCGGCCCACTTCAGGCTTCCATATCACCTGCCAGGCCCCTGCGGTAGGCATTTGCATCTGTGGCTGCGGGTTTAGATTCTCCTTGGGCCTGAGTAGGGAGATGGGTGAAACAGATCTTTTAAAACGTTCTCACCAACTGAGGATTAATGGATCCCATTTGGGAACCACATCCCAGCTCCAAACCTTCCTGAACCTGATTATACCGTGAATGCTAGAATGGCCCCACTGCAAGGGCCCTTGGAGATAGATCAGCCCAGTGCCCCCATTTTACAGATGGAGAAACTGAGGCCAAGATCACCCAGTGAGTCAAGGGCAGAATCTCACCTTCCCTGGGCATTTTTGCCATGGAGGAGAGCAGGGGTTGAAGCTGGCCCCAGGACACTGCCTACCTCAGCTGTTTTCAGTCCTCTCTCTTCCCAAGCCAGGAGGTGCCGATGCTAAGTGACACTAAAATCTTTGCCTGTTGGAGTAAATGGATAAATCTGGACCTTTAAGAAGAGTTTACCCACGTCTCAGAAGGTCCAACTAACAACATCTGGTGAGACCATTTAAAAAGGGAGCCAGCCTTAAAATACACACAATCCCACTTTTATTCCTCCCCCCACCCCCATTATGAAAGCTATACAAGCTGGTTACAGAACGTTTGGAAAATCCAGCAAACTATGAGGAGAATTAAAACTGTGCCTTACAAGGCCTGCCCCTCTCAGCCCTCGGGGGGCACTGCAGTTAGCACTGCATTTCATGGCCTCGTGGCTTACACTCGTTTTTACACAGTGGGGATCACATTGCACAGGAATTTTTCTTTAAAAGACTTCCTATAGTCGAAAGACTATTGTCTGGGAGGGGGCCTCTTTCTGGGCTGGTGGGAATCTTGTGTATTGATCTGGGTAGTGGTTACAGGGGTACGTACACAGGGGAAAATGCATCAACCTGCGCACTTTAAATTGATTTTACTTTATAAAGATAATACTTAAGATCACAATAATAATAGAGGCTCATTGCAAAGACGTAGAAATAGAAGTATTTGTTTCTCCCCCTCCTCCTGGGTCCAGATGGGACCCCCGGGAACAGACACTTTTCTCTGTCCTTTGGCACCATACAGGGTTCCCCGTGTCAGTCCAGAA